ATGTGAATGGGGCTTGGGTGTCAGTGGACAATTTGGTGCCTACAGGACTTGTGGTTTGGTTTAGATTGCTTCCTCCTGTGTTCTCAAATGAAGACGAAGGTGACTCTGCGGATGAAGAGAATTGGGCTTGTATGTCAGATGTGGAGCCTGTTGGACTTGTTGTTTGGAATGAATTTCTTTCTGTGCTGCCAAAGGAAGATGTGCCTTTGGATGGAAAGGATGGGGCTTGGATATCAATAGGCAGTGTCGAAAATATGTTGTCTGAAAGACTTGTTTTTGGATCTGGCTTGATTTCTGTGTTACCAAATGAAGATGATTTTAACATAGCAGGTGAGGGTTGGATAAAAATGGGTGGTGCAGATAATGTGGGGCCCACAGCACTTGTTGTTGGATTAGGATTACTTTCTGCAGTGCTGCTGGATATTGAATCTTCAGATGATGAGAATGAGGCTTGGGTATCAATGGGCCCTGTTGTTGGGATTAGATTGATTTCTGTACTGCCAAATGATGACGACTTTGACAATGGCAGTACAGATGAGTTGACTGAGGCTTGAGTGGATAGTGTGGAAAATGTGGTGCTGAAACTTGTTTTGGGGCTTTGGTTGCTTTCTGTATTGCCAAATGAAGAAGAAATTGACTCTGTAGATGAGATGAATGAGTCTTGAGTATCAATGGGCAGAGTGGGAAATGTTTTTGGGGTTTGGATGCTTTCTGTGTTGCCAAGTGAAGAAGATTTTGATAATGGCAATGCAGATGAGGTGGATAAGGCTCGGGTATCAGTGGATAGTGTGGAAAATGTGGTGCTGAAACTTGTTTTTGGGGTTTGGATGCTTTCTGTGTTGCCAAATAAAGAAGATTTTGACAATGGCAATGCAGATGAGGTGGATGAGGCTTGGGTATCAGTAGGCAGTGTAGAAAATGTGGTGTCTGAAGGACTACGCCTTGTAGTTGGGTTTAGACTGCTTTCTTTATTGCCAAATGAAAAGAAAGCTGACAATGCAGATGAGGTGACTGGGCCTTGGGTATCTTTGGGCAGTGTGGAAAACATTGTTCCTGAAGGATTTGATGTTGGGTCAGTATTACTGGGTAGTGTGCTTGATTTAGAGCCTGGATGGCTTGTTTTTAGACCCAAATTCCTTTCTGTATTGCTGGATGAACTAAATGTTGGTTTTGCAGATGAGGATGGGATGAATGGAACTTGAGTATTATTGAGCAGTGTGGAAAATGTGGTGTCTGAAGGACTTTTGGTTGCATCTTGATTGCTTTCTGTGTTGCCAAGTGAAGGGAAAGCTGACAATGCAGATGAGGTGAAAGGCACTTTGGTATCATTGGGCAGTGTGAGAAATTTGGGTCCAGGATTTCTTATTGGGTTAGTATTACTGGGCAGTGTATTTGCTGTAGAGCCTGAATGATTTGTTTGATCTGAATTCCTTCCTGCATTGCCAGATGAAGTAGATTTTGATTCTGTAGATGAGGTAAATGGGGCTTGGGCATCATTGGGCAGTGTGGACAATGTTGAACCTACAGGACTTGTTGTTGGGTCTGGATTGCTTTTTGTGTTGCCAAATGAGGCTTGTTTAAGATCCCCATACCCTGTGAGCTCTGGCTGGCCTAAATTGTTAACCTTTCTAGTACTTTCCAAATCTAACTTAGAGACCGATTTTGGCTGGTACTTAGGGATGCGCGTGAAACCCATCCTGGTACATGGCATACGGAATAGAGATGCTGTGTATCTACAGTTAGCTTCTGGCATTCTAGTCTCTTTCAGGATGAGAAGAAGGAAAACCAGCATGTGCCGCAGATTTCTTCCCATGTTCTCCTGGCACCTGAACAAAGCAAGAAGCCCCTCTATAGACGTCAGAGTATTTGGAACTGATCCAAATGGGCAGTTCATGTGTTCATGCAAGAAGAATCTCACACTTCGCTGTTGCCGTTCTGCTTGTAAAATAGCCAGCTTCAGTTTTGGATTAACGATACACTAAGTTACATGATTATGTTGATTGTCTGAAGCTGGCCATTTGAATATTTACACAGAGGTTGTTTACTCTTATTCCCTTTTACTGATATTAACATTATTTGTAATGGACTATTTACAAATCCTTACCTGAAAACACTTAGTTTAGGAAAACATTGTCCGGTTATTTTTACTTCACTGTTGGACATATAGCTTGACATTCATAAAAAAAAACTATAATCTTTTATGTAATGCCAATGTCATCATTGATGAAGCTGTGTTGTGTTTTGGTGTCGATCTGAGGGTTGTACAAGGGATTGAATACAGTCAGATGAAAGTTTTTTTCCTAGCCCTCCCATGTTTTTCATCTTGAAGTCTTGCTACGTTTTTGCTAGAAAATGTTGAAGGCAATAAACTGGTATAATTCAAGCAACATACCATAACATATTTATTGAAACTTACCTCTTGTTCTTATCAGAATATCTTCAGTTGTCCCTTTCTGTCCTGCTTGTTGCTGTTGTGTTTACAGAATATGTGCGCCGTGCCGGTAGCAGCTCCGAAGTAGCGTGTGAAGAACAGTCTTGGATCCGTCCAACTTATGTTGTTGCATAATTGTCTGGGTCTGGCTATTAGAATATTAAATATATAATATAAATAGTAAATATCTATGATAATGAGATATAGATGAGGTATACTCATGATATTTTCCAGGCTTTATTTGGTATTACTAAGCTAAACAATGTTCTGAATGTAGATTTAAAGAATTTGACAAAAACACAATAAATACATTGAGTCATTGTACATTAACTGTTAAGGTGGGAAGCTGTGCTTTAAAATGTACTGAGTCACATCATCAAATGGTGAATAAGCCTATTGGCTGATCACATTTCTGGAATTACATCACACTAACATATACCTATTCATTATTTAACCTATGTACAAATGTCATATGGTTGTGTTGATTGTCTACTGCCAGCTTTTTCATTTTTGCATTTTCAGCTTTTGCTTTAAGCTTTTTTTTGTCCAGGAAGAAATCAAATCTTTGAGTGAGCAAGTCTGTGACTAGACAAAAAATGTTATCAGTGATACACTTGTCTGAATGAGTTCATATCCAGATATCAACTGAGAATACTGCAGAGATGTAACAAAATTGAATATTAAGGTTACAAGGAAAACAGAACATTTAGCTATTGACCAAGCTATTTGGTGACACTATCATTATAGATAAATTAAATGTTCTTTTGCTTTCATCATCACATCTGTATGGTTTTACTTGATAGCCACATAGCTATCAACCTATCAGCCATTAAAGAAAAACTTTTGCTTTTTATGTTACAGAATGGGTTGCAATATTGACTTTTATCTAGAAATCCAATAACACAAGACATTATAGATGTCTGTGTATGTGAGATATCCCAATGGGAGATTTTATGTGTCATAGCATGGTACCTTTGGTTAACATTATGGTGTTAGGCAAAGACATTATGGACAGACAGAAAACATTCAGGGTCCCCATATGCACACCATAACCTTTATTACTTTATCCCAATGCAGTTAAGTATTTTTTAGGTTGTCTGTCTGTGTGTGTGTCTGTTAATGTGTGTTTCTGCAATTCCCAATATGCATGATGCAGCTTTGCCATACATACTCATTACTGCTATTTTTCTTTGTTAAACTCGAAGCCATCTTAGATTGCCATGTTTTTGTTTATGAATTGATACCATACTTAGGTAAATGCATATATGTAATCATATAATGCATGTTGCATCAACAACCATAGAATAGAGCACATTTGTATTTTATGGATGTGTCTTTGCTTCAGCCCCTAGTACAAATCAATAAATACAGATTTGATAACGTCAACTTGTTACAATTGATGGTACCATTGGTGACTCTATTTTACAAGGTTGGCTACACTGAAATGCTATACCCCCTTGGCTGTCCTATACATCTGTTTCACAGCAGGGTGCTTTTGTGATAAGGGTTGTTGATTTAGAATCTGAAGATTCTGGGTTAAAGTCCCAGAGGCCTGGGCATGCTGTGCCCTTGAGAAAGGTACTTCACACCTATTTCCTCACTTGACACTCCATTTGACCTCTCCCTCTCTGGTTTGAGTTGCATTATCATTTTGTTTAATCAAGAGATTTTGTTGTTAATTTGTTTCATAGTTGACTACATTAACTGATTATTAATTTGATTTCGAACTTAAGTTACCTTATGTTACTTAATTATGTTACTTTTATAATGTCAGTGATCACTCTGATTCGAACTCAGCTTATGTTACTTAATTATGTTGATTATTTTAAATTATTCAATTTATGTTAATATTGAGTTGAATTCTGTACATTTCTGTTGTTATAATTTCTAATTTTATGTGGACTCCAGGAAGAATAGTGGTCAGTTGAACACTAATGGAGATCTAATAAAAACAAACAAACAAACAAACAAATTTGTAGAAGCCTTTTTGGTATGGTGACGGGACCCTGTTCTCACCTTGTAACATCCTTGGTACTGAAAAGCCTTCCACAAGTAGTGCTGAAGTGCCTTCCAATGCATTACATGGCCTGAGATAGCTTCTAGTGCTCCCTTATATAGGAATATTGTGTGCATCTACAATACTGATAATGCATTTTGGTAAATAAATTCAACATAGACAATCATTTATGCATGATTACATCCATGGCCATTCGTGCTTTAACAGACTCTATCTATTTATTTATTCAAATGACAACAACATAACATGGAGCACCAGAGAGAAATTATTGATGCCATGTAATTTAACAGCCCTACACATTCTGATTAGAAGGAATAGGTATAAATTTTGAATAGCTCTGTATTATCATTCATACCAGTACTAGTATTTCGATGGTGGACTGCTCTTTGCTGAATTTGCATTACTTTGTATGCTGAGTGATTAGAGTACAATACAGCATTGCAATACAATAAAACTGTTACAATGCAATGTACATCACTGCAATACAGCAACAATACAGTAGGGTAAAATGGCTGCTACGTTGGTCTCAAATTTCCCCCCAATGTGTTTCAGGTGAAGCAGATAATGGAAGAGGCAGTGACCAGAAAATTTGTCCACGAAGACAGCGGACACATAATTGCTCTCTGTGGTGAGTTGCTTATTGATTTAACATTCATCATTATTCATCAATGCCCGGCAATTTCAACACCAGTGGTGTGAATTCCATTGATTGCAAGATCATGGCACTTATATTTCATCATCAGCTTTTTTCTGGCCAGGACTCTGTTTTTCAAACATCTGATTCAGTAGCAAAACTTACATGGAAAGTTTTGACTTGTTTTTTTCCCCACCTACACAGCATGTAAATTGTGAAGCTGCTGTGGTGCTCAGTATAACTTGCAGGAAACTAGGTCCCACATGGCATTACACAATGGTAAAGGTTACAGACATGATACCATATCTGGTATTCAGGTTTTGTGCCGCCAAATCCTTGCTGTGCATTCCCACCCACTGTTGGATTTGCAGTCAGAAGTCAGTGTGCTATGTATAGGATTTCTAATCTTTTCCTGTGTTGGAGAAACAAATCTGTGTCAGGCAGTACAAAGGAGCTGCATTCTCATGTTAAAACCATGTACATTGTTTTTTTTGTTTAATGTACAGTGTACATGTAGATTATGATAAAGTGCCATCATGATAAAGTTTGTGATAAAGATATCAAATGATAATTAGAAATATATAAGACTCTGACAAAGTGTTTGATATATCATCCATGATATTTGGAATTAATATCTTGCACTACTACAGGGGATGATGTGCTGTCATATCTAGATTTAAAGACATTTTCAAAGCAATGTTCGACAACATTTGTGGGGTTAACTCATAATCCTTAATGGAACAGCTGCAGCCAGCGATAGAGGAAAAATGACTGCAATTCTAAGTGCTTGTGACCTAAGGGAGTATAAAATGGTTTTAAAGTGATATCTTTAGGTGATTTACAATATTTCACTTAAAGTCCTCTGCCAATTGTGGTACTTAGAAGATAATATCAATGCAGAAAAATCCAAGAGTAGTTGGTAGTATGACAAATGAGATTGCCATGATAAAGAGAGGCTACATCCATGCATTTAGAGTTTCTACTTATAAGATAATCTAAATTGATTAGCTAAATTAAAAGCTCTTTATTCACAACCAATTGGTTGTGACTACGTAACCTTGCTACTCAATCATCCACCAACTTGATTAGATCATTCACAGATATCAATTAATCTGTGGAACCAAACATTGTACAGTGTTTAGCCTATAAAATTTAGCTTTCACAGTTTTAATAAAACTTTGAAACCTTTACTTTCTACCTTTTATATACATGTACATGCATTGGGACAGGTTTGGTGTAAAGTAGGGACAAAACATAGAGGTTGAAAGATATTTTGAATGTTTGAAGCAAAATCCAACAAGTATGCTCCAGGAGGTGTTGAAATTCAGTCTATCTGTCCTCAGCCCATTGCTTCCTAGTTACCATCATCCAGTAATCAATTGTAGGCTTACAAGGAATGCCAGACGTTAACAAAAGTCACACAGGTTACCGGAAAGGGGGTCAGATGTTTCGAACTCTACCCTCTCTTCTAGCAGGGGAGCCACAAAGTCGATACGCCCATCCATTTCCGTCCAGGGTAATTTACATGAGTGGAAAAATGGCTGTGTGTGCACTCAAGATCTTTCTTGAACATTTATTGTTGAAAAGGAAAAGTGAGCTCAAATCCATTTATCTGGAATGAAATTGAAAGTTTGAGGTTCTAAGATTTCACTGATTTTGACAGCGATAACAAAGATTAGTCTCTACAGTATAAACAGGTTCATTGTACCAGGGAAATTCCCCAAGCTCTTTGTGATAAGTACAATGAACAGTAGACCATAATGCCCAGTCCTAAGGATTGCTACCCTTTTCAGCAGTGTGCAGCTAGAAAAATATACGAGGCAGTCAGCAAAGAAGGCAACATACAGTAATTGAATTTTCTGCAAAAGACAGGCTCACTCAATGCTTGTCATTCCAGGCAGCAGACTCGTACTACCTTTTACATTCTGAGGGCCCCTCTTATCTGGCACTGTGCCCAGGCTGTGGAATGTGGCAGCACCTGGTGAAACACATGATTGACAAACACAAAAAGAATCTTGAGGCATGAGACTAAATAAGGGCTGTAAGACTGAAGATGTCTTGGAAGCAAATTTTCTACACCTTACAAAGTAATACTAATGAGGAAATGAATCCACATGGTCAGAGAAATCATATTCTGTATTCATCAATATTCAGAACAACTACAGCTCTTTTGTTATAGATTAATGGGATAATACTAAGTCTCAAAATGCAAATTAGGGAACAGTGAGGAAACCTTAAAATAAACCACAAGAACAAGGGGTATTGTTTTTTTTCGTTGCAAATAAACTCCTGAACCTACAATGTAAATATACCAAGGCATTACAATGTATATATACCAAGGCACTTATTCTTTTAATCCCATGTCATCTTGGAGTGCTTCACCTTTGGCATACTGAACTAATAGACTCATGTTCCAAACACAAACGTGTAGTACTACGTGTAACGTTACACAATAACAAGAAGCAATAACAAGTTTTGAAATCTAACCTGCCAATGTGCAAGCGCTCATTGGAAGGATTTCAACCACGTTATCTTCATGTATTCTGAGGTGTTACAGTTGTTCTCAAAATAGAAACCTGTGTAGATAATGGGGTGTTTTCCAAACCTGAACCTGAACCAAGTTATCATGGATAGGATTTCAAGCAACCGCATGTTATCTTAGACAATTCACCTTCGGCATACTAAAACAATGTTCTCAAAATAGAAATGATACTATCAACCACTGCCACAAATGGCCCAGCTGTACAATCTACCAGGTTTTGAATCGGGCACTAAAGTTTGCAGATATCGTCTGCGGTGGAGGCATTTATGCCAGCGGCACCTTTGAAGTCTTCAGTACCATCAGCCTGACGGCAGCTGTGTCTGATCACTGTGGCATGGCCCCAAGTTTGCTTTAGCTCTGTAGGCAGTAATTGGCCACCTGGGTGCAGTGCATGTGTTCGACTTGTCCTCTCTCTCAATCTGGTCATGTTGAGTGGGTAAATTCGTCTTCCATGCACTGCCTAAAAAAAACCCAGTCAAACCCAGCAGAACTAGTACCAAGCATGTTGTAGACATAGTGTCACATTTTCTTTCTTCATAGATGTTGTTTTTAACTGCAATTAGCCCTCGGGAATGTATTTGCAATGAACTTTCTTTATCATATGTTGTATGGGCATTGGTAGTTTTCTTTAGTATGCTTTGAAATTGGTGGCTATACTGAAATATTAAGTATAATGTATTTATTTTTTAAAATACTTACAATGTTCAGTGCAAGGCAAATGGGAGCAACCATGCTGCTTAAACATTTGTTGGAATACCATCACAGTACACCAACCTTCAACCTTTCCAAGTGATTGGATCTCATCAACATTCATATCTTGTTTCTCAATTTTCTTAAGCCTGAGTGGACCCTTGAAAAGGGATGTCACCTGCCACTTTATTTTGAATGTCAAATTGCTTTGCTAAGTATATCACTAATGGAAAACCAATCCTCAAACACCGACCCTTGTATCTTTAACATTTTAAGTAATATCACAGAAAATGTTATATATTTCAGGCATTGAAAGTATGATGTGACAGAAATTATCTCCTATGAAAAGAATGCCTTTGCTACATGTAAAAACATCCATTAAAGTCAGACATCCAGGTAATGAGATACACAAGAAAATTGTTACTCAAAGAACTGGATAGATTTAGCCAGATACAACCTGATACCACATCCTTGTGAATTATTCTCAGAAAGTTTATGGGTTGATTCATATTTGACACCAGACTACCATATCTTATATTTCTTCGGAGTACATGATGTATTTATAGCTTGCATTTCCTTAGGCCGTATGTGCAAAACATTTATAGTTTTGTCTTGACTGTCGGAAGAGTAGCTTTTCTGCAAGCTTAGCAGGCTGTGATACATATTTCCAGTGTAATTTCCTCTGATCCAGTTCATAAGACATAGTGCATGACCCAGCCTACAATATATCCCATCCTTCTCAAATTTCACACATTATATGGTCTATATGATAAAAGGGTAGGGAGAGTGGGAGTGGCATTTCCTCAGCAGTGAGCTGATTTTTGTGACACTTGGCTTTTGATAGCATTATTAAACTTGACCTGGGGCATACATCAAGTCTTATAAACTGATAACTTTGATTACAGATAAGGTTTAGTGTATGCTAACCCAACCTTTTTGTTGTGTCAGCACACTATAAATATTTGGGTGCACCAGTGCACCCCAAAAAAAATTTGTTGCACAGCTCCAAATTTGGGTGCACTAAGGTGCACACGCACCCAGTATTTTGAGCCCTGTCATGTCATGAAAAACTGCCTTGCATTCACTTACAAGGTGCAACACCTGCCTGTATGAGAATGTGAATATAGATGGTGAAAATTCATCACTGTCAAAGCTACAGGTTTGCTTTTATGAATAATCGTTGACTACTCAAGTAATCTATTAGTAAGCCGCACGTCGGTGGAACTAATAAAGTCATACTTAAGATGGATGAATGTCCGTGCTGTTTTTGATCCGGGGCTACCTGATTGAACACAGGCACACAGAGCTCCTCTACATGTAGGTGTATCAGATTTGCAGACTATGTTAGGCTACAGAAATGCAATTTGCTGAAATCAATGTGAAACATAGTTTCAGGGAGTGACTCTGTAGCCAGATTCAATTTTTCCTTCAGCACAGACCTCTTGCTGAATTTTTCCAGGAATATGTCTGAGGACCAAGAAAAATAAATTGATATTGCCTTAATCTGGGCAGTAATAGTTATCTTTATGGACTGGCTAGTTTTATCATAAATGGAAGGGGTCTTATCACAGATTAAATCAAACTGTGGGATCTGATTTTACACTGACAGATTGCTTGGCCGAGTGCATCTCTTGTGTCTATAGCACTGACACTGTTGAATATTCACAGTCTTACCATTGATTTTTCCATGGCTGCAAAGAGAGCCTTGGACAAGTTCCAAGGGAGAGACAATGCTGAAATACTTGAGATGCACTGCAACAGACAAGCATGCTTTCCCTAAAATGTTTTCAGGCAACTGTGAATGGGTTTTATTGAATTCTATTTTGGACAAAGCAGCAGCAGGGGCAGGAAGCTGTATTTTTAGTGCTGGTAGCTTGGCTTTTATGTATTTAGAAACACATTTCACAACCACATGACATTCATGTATGTGACCAAGAACTTTGAAACATAATTAGGAAGCTAGAAGGTATTTTGAGTATCAAATGACGGTCTATAGTAAAATTCTCCACATGTATTAATCATCATTTAAAACTTTTGTCTTTGTGTAAATTTGATTATTGAAAATTTATTACCATATAAGTAATCAATTCAATTTATTTCAATAGGCTGAATTTACTTTCCATTTAGCAGTACATAAAGATTATCACAGCCAAAATGGCTGTTAAGCAGCATATGAAGTGTTGATATCGATATGAACAGTATATTTCATTTTTTGCATGTTTTTTGAATTACTGCTAATGAAAATCATTGTGACATTTTGTGAGATGATATGTTAGACAATAAGATACTTTCCTTGACCCAAGGTTGCAAATGCCTTCATCAGTATTAGCCAGCATGCCTGTCAGTAATGTATTTCATTAAAGGAACAGCACAGTTAGGAAATAGCATATCAGAGATAACAGACTGTCCTTAGTTTTAAAGGACACGGCGACAGATGTCTGAGGACGATAAGCTTGCAGAACACCCACTGGTGACATCAGGGAGCGCGCACTTTTTAGGAGGCTGTAAATTATGACAGTTCATTTAGAGAGCAGGGAAGAAACGCCGTGTACTTTATTCAAGTGAAAATCTGTCTTGACAAGTGCTTAAAAAGTTTTGGCAAACTTTGTTGAAGGAATATTTTGTGTTGCATTCAATTCGGTTATCACCATATTTATGGATTTTTGCTTAAACGTTATTGAATGATTGGAAATAATGTGACAAATCAGTGCTGGTTCTTCAATTTTTTTATTTACTAGGGAATATGTATGTCTGAGACATAATATTGAAGCTATTAGAGAGGCATTCCAATTCAAAAGTAGGCTTTCCCAGTGTGAGTGGTTCAAACCTCACAGTCCAGTCTTATGCAGCTTGTAGCCAGTGTACAAAACTGGTGAGCTACACCAAAAGGCAGTTTACTAGTTATGTAAAACAGAATTATCCATCCAAAGGATTACTTTCATGTATTACTTGTCCAGTTGACCTGTGTTTCCACCGGATAGCTGACCTTTACAACAGTTATGTATTCAGCACCCCGGACAGGCTGACCTTTCAGTTGGTCTCTGAAAGGTTCCAGCATACAAACTACTTAATGTGTCAGGAAATATCTGTGCATCAGCTCATGAAGGATGTGCTTGTAGATGTAACACCTGTTAAAGGTTATGGATGATCTTTATGTATGTCAGGGCAAATGGAGACAGAAGGTCAGTAAGCAGAAGATTTACCGGTACGTTTCAAACAGCTAGTAGGATTTGAAGGTATTTCAATTTGGTAGGTAATAAATCTGATAATTTTCCTCCCACAGCTGGTGATAGAAGCTTGTTTCCTCCATGATACTAGTTATTGATCAATAAAATACCAGTTATTGATTGATTGATTATTGGTTTTCCTGCCACAGCTGCTGTGGAAGCCTGCCTCCTCCATGGGCTGAAGAAAAGGACCATCTCCTTCCTGAGCGGCAACACGGCAGCAGCCCTCATCACCAAGGTGGGGAAGGACTTCCAGCCGGCTGCCGACCTCACCAAGAAGTGTCAGGAGATCGAGCTGGAAAATGAGAAAAAGTATGGCTTTCTTAACAAGTCTGGCTTCCTTTAAGAGACTGTCCACTGAATATCAGTCTACTTAGTACAGTATGTCTACTAAATGTATTCTGGTCACTGTACTAAATGGGTTTGAAAAATGATACAATTCATGGATCAGTGGTTTAGTAAATTTTCACCACAGCTGGTATAAATGATAATATATATTTCAAGTCAGACTTACTGAGACAATGACAAATGGAAAGTCAAGGTTTATTGAACATTTAGCTATAAGATTACCATGCTCAAGTTATCAGCATGAAAGTTCATCTGAGTTGGTAAATTACATTATGAAAAAAATTTTCAAGTTATGGCTAATTTAAGAACTTTATGCTTTGTGCTGAACTTTAGTTTTTCCTTTGGGACAACTGAAATGTCATAGAAGTTAATTGCACCATTTTCAGTATCTTCCCTGCAGCTGTTTTGGGCAGATTTTAGTGGAAATAATTTGATGCCTCTGGCTGAAACAGGTTGCAAATGAAGGCCTTTGTATGAAAAGAAATAAGAAAGCAGGCAGCCAACCACCCACGGTGCTATCGATTCAGGAGAGCCATCTCTTGGCGATGTTTCTGTCTGGAACATACTGCTAATGGAAGCCTGAAATGAGAGTCTCTCAGAGTAGTCAGCCACCCACTGTGCTAATGATTGTAGATAATTATCTCACTGATTAGTCCCTGTGGTGTATTGAACTGGCATTTGGCAAATTGCTTGCATAACATGGCTGGTCACTGGTACAGATTATCGGAATGATACTGCAAAAATCACAGGTCAAAATCCAGAATATCAATGTACCTGTCTAGTGTATAATAAGATTACATTCAAGTTAACATAATTATATTTTGTGCACTTGAAGGCCACAGAATCTGACCAGGAGCCAGCAGGAACTTTAAATCCTGCATAAGAACATCAATCTCCTTGGTTATTGCAATGAATTCCCATCCCCAATATGCTTCCCAGAAGACTTTTAAATGTCTCATTTCTTGTTATTATGATCTCAATCTTCTCTTTTCGCAGGAGACTAGCCAACCTGGGGATCACAAACATCGGGAACGAACTACTGAAGAGACAGAACAGCTTCACGGGAAGCGCACAGGCCCAGAACAAGTACCTCTGGTCCCGCATGGCACTGTACACCAAAGTACTGGCCAGGATTGTCGAATACCTGACTGAAAATAGCAGGTACATTGTTTTAGCTGTTTATACAGTGAGGTGGTTCTCCTCAAACATAGGGCCTCCAGCTTTAAGTCCTATTGTGTGGTTGCCTCTAACCAGCACTCATTTTTAGTTGAGCCAAGTGAAGAAATACCTGGTGTAAAGTGCCATTCCCATGGGCACAACAGTGGAGCGTGCACACCCAGAACCTTTTAAAATTAGATTCTAAGCCAATAACTCTAGCCACAGGACCACCTTGTCACTGAATACATGTTACTGAATACCTAAGATGAAATGCAGTTTTGTTGCTTGAAACGGGAAGTAAATTTTTCCAAATATGCAGCAATGCCTGGAGAGCAACAAATAATGTCTTTAATAGCTTGGTCTGTCCCTAGATCATACAAATTGTTGGCCGTTAAGTTGGCCAAAATGAAATCAGCTTGCAAAAGTCATATACTCCACGTTAAGCTATGGCTATAAAAGAAACACCTTGCAATAACTCATGCCTAAAGTGCACATTAAGATGGTCAGGTTGAAAAGACCCTCTTATTTAGAAGGCCATGAAAACATGTTATAGATAGCCTTAATCCAGACATTTTACGGTTGCACGTACCTACACTTATATTGCATGCCGTGTTAGCAGTAATGAAAAGACCTGCCACCAACAGTCTAGATTATCCTGTAAAAGTGACATATAAAATCTAATACATCTCAAAGTATATACGATATTGGGTGATAAAAAAGTCAAAGTGGTATCATATGCTATTACTGTGGCTTTATTCATTGCTTCAGGGTGTGAAATAAGTTTTTGGATATATTTGGGGCTCTTGGTGATAAATTCAGGTTGCAAAGTCCAGCCATTGATTCTGCATCAGATTCTGGAAGTTAGTATTTCAGCTACATTCAAAAAGACGTATAAAATGTTGCATCTGAGAATACGTTTGATAAAAGTAGTTGATTGAAAATAGTTTTATATTATGCTAGTTGACTGACTGATTGATTGATTGATTGATTGATTGACAAAGCTGTTTTCTCTTGTTGCAGTAAATACTATGAAAGTAATGCGTTACTAGCAGACCCTGTGGAAGGAACCATCTTAGCATCTTTACTTGGTGAGTCTTTACTATAAGAGTTTTGTATCAATCCAGATTTCTCTTAATATAGTTGTTCATAAATTTGGATAATGTTGTGATGTGCTTGAGGACTAGTCTTCTTGTGTATCTTTATCTATACTGGTCAGTCAGAAAATTTATACCACATGACTTTGTAGGCTCATTGACCTCAGTAGTCTAAATTACATTCTGTGCTCATTCTTTAGAATGTATTGCCCCTGCAGAAACCGGTAAATTAAATGTATTGTGCATAGCACTTTGGCAGAACGTCTTATATTTAAGGTCATATTTGCATATCTAAGGATGACATCACATCAGACTCTATAATAAGTCTATGTTGTGTTGAAAAAAAATACCAACCCATACACGCACATACAGATGACAATAAATATTCCCTCTTCCCCTGCACGATCCCACAATGGAATGCCTTGCCTGGCCCGGTAATCATGGCTCCCACCGTTGAGTCCTTCCGGGCCAGGCTGGAGGCCTGCCTGCCTTAGACCAAGGCCTCCCCCCCCCCCTAAAGTTCCCCAACAGGGGCTATATGGGGGTGTAGCCAGGGCTTGTATAACATCTTACAGCCCTTGCAAAGATGAAGATGAAGATATTGCCAGGCAGTGCATTAATAACCCAATGAATAGATGTTAATAGAGGTCATATATAACTTGTGCCCTGTAGTTGGCCCCTGTGCTCTTGACTTCTCCAAAGTGAAGACCCCGGATCACTACTGGACAGACCCCACTGCAGACGAGCTGGTCCAGAGACACAGAATACCCAACCAAGCCAACCTCAACGGGCCCCCCTCCCCCAACAGAAGACCTCATCTCAAGGTGAGAAACATGAACATGCGAAACATTTATTCATATACTATTATATTAGTTACTGTAGTCTAAATTAGGCCATTATAACCAATTTATGTTTTGGTTCTCAGAAATTCTTAACAAATATTCAGCAAGTGGTCAAGATGACAGGAAACTTGAATCTGGTTAATCGTTTTCTGAAACTGTGGGTACCAAGGTATAACAACAAGTTGTATGTATCACCTACTGACCAGCCCAATGGTTCCTGGACCTTTTGGCCTAGTGGTTGTGTGTTTGGTTGTGACGTACGACGTGGGTTCGATTGCTTAGAGTCAGAGTCAACCTTGATTTTGTCTTGTCTTTTTCCTCTTTCTCTGGCGTTACACACACTCAGATAATTCGGATGGGTTCAGGCGGACCGGACGACTTTGCCAGCCGGCTGCCGGTGTCTCCCAGAGACTATGTGGAATCCCTGCACCAAAACTCCAGAACTACTCTCCTGTACGGCAAGAACAACGTCCTGGTGCAGCCCGTAAGTGTTGCTATAAACTTTACCTCACAACAATTCTACAAGGTACAAAGTATGGCAATGCTATTGCTATTAATAAAACATTACTATGAGACTAAGATTCTTCCTTGCTTACTTGCTTCATTCTTTGCTTATGTTAAGTCCACACTCTATCTCGAGTTGTGTTTCTGCCCATATGTCTCTGCTCTTCATTGCCTGGTTTATGTTGTCAACCTCAAGCCTGTGTCCCTCTTGAGTATGTCAATGTAGGTTGCTACTGGTCTTTCTGGCTTCCTCTTCCCATGCCTGGGAGTCCAGAGCACCATCTATCTTACAAAGACTTATCATAGTACCATCATCGTAATGTGGGAATGCTTTTATCGTCAACAGTTTAATTTCTAGTGTTTACTATAATACTTGCTGTAATAGGTATTTTTTCAGATATTGTCCTAAAATATGTTAAATGACATCTCCTGACAACATTCCCTCCCCCTGACTCTGATCTCTGCTGCTCTCACCTAGAAGGAAGACATGGAGCCCGTGCCAGGCTACCTCTCCCTGCACCAGACAGCCGACAACCTCACCATCAAGTGGACACCCAACCAGCTCATGAACGGCAGTATAGACAGCACAGAGGGTGACGCAGACAGAAGGTTAGGACGGGATGGGGGGAGGTAGAAAAATAAGATGAACATTCATTGTTTTGGCTCATGCCTGGAGGATAACAGCACTAAGTTTTACTCTCCAAGCAGAGGTTTAGGATTGGGCTTAGTTTTGACATGTTTAAAGACATTTTATTGTACTTTCTTTTTTCACCAGCCAGCAAGAAAGCCCAGTAAAAATTCCTAAAAACGTCAAAGTAATTTTAAGTATTAGTAAGTTTAAACCTCAGCTTGGAGCGTAAACACACAGAATGCAAGGTGTTAAACATGTCTAGTCTATACATCTATCTGGACCAGGTGTAACTAACAGTTTCTAAAAAAATACTACATTACTGAGGGGTTTGACTTCTTTCTTGGAGGCAGTGGATAATGATAATGATAAATGAAAATGAAATAAAAGACACTAACCTGCTTGGACATGAGTTGTTAGATGCACTTTTCTTTTGCATGTTTTACTAACAAGCGGTGTACTTACCAGTTTCTCTCACCTTGTTTTCCTTCCCTGTTCTTTGTGTTTTGCATGTGTTTATGAAATGCTCCCCTCTCCCTTCCAACCAGCACAATACCCAGCACCCTTGCATGTCCTAGTGAGCCGAGCTCCCCTGTAACAAAACATGACGGAGAGTGAGTAGCACTGTTTCCTTGGGTCACTGCCTAATAAACAAACTTTCCACTCTTTTGGTTTAGCTAACTGAAAAAAAGCTTTTAAATTAGCTACTTTCCTTTTAGATAGCAAATGATATTTAAGTTGATGTCTGACATTGTTGTACAATTATTGTGTTATGTTAAATATACAGTGAGTGAGTGCTTGATATAGGACCTGCAGTTACTGTATATGTACTATACCCCTCCTTTGTGTGTTGTTTTCTTTCATGGCTTGATATTTTCCCTTTATGTTGCAGCATCTACTGGGATTATGCAGTTAACATCAACTTAGATGAGGTGGTATACCTACATTGTCATCAACAACGTGAGTTGGCTTCTTATATACATTTACTGCCAGTAATGGTCTACTCTAAAACTAGACTGGACCAGATGACTGTCACCATGGTGACTGGTGCTGTAGCAGATACCCCGTGGTGTCGGGTTAAGTTATGTAGCAAGTTGCAGGGCAGAGTTGGAAGGGCTGGCTACCATATATATAAATGTGTTCAAATAAGAATAGAGATAGCTAAAATTTGTTATGCTAGACTTTGACTTTATCTTTGACTTAAACCACGTAAAGGTAAACATTATGCATTTGCTTTGTAAATGTTACCTTTCTAGTCTAATATATAGATTGTGTCTCCACAGCGGACAGTGGTGGAACTATAGTGCTGGTGGGACAGGACGGGGTCCAGAGACCCCCCATCCACTTCCCGAAGGGCGGCCACCTGCTGGCGTTCCTGTCCTGTCTGGAGAACGGGCTGCTTCCCCACGGCCAGCTGGACCCACCGCTCTGGTCACAGCGCGGCAAGGGAAAGGTATCATATTTGTTATTGATCTATCTATAATACTGTTCGTTGGTTGTTTCTAAAAATCTAGAAAATCAGGTACTACCACCATATCGTATTAGGATTAGAAAAATATGAATATGATTACAGTGTTTAAAAATTTGTTGTATCAACAAACAAAACATGTTTGTATTTTTTTAGAAAAATTTGTTGAAGATTTTGAAAAAAAATTGATATATAACAATTTGAAAACACACTATCCTAAAGTGCTTGCCAGTTGTCTAACACTTTGCACACTGACATAGCTACTTGGCTATTGGTTATAGGGTTAGGCAGCAGGGAGAAGGCTAAATATGGTCATGTTTAAAAACCTAAAGAAATTTTTGCACTTGCACCCTGACATCCATCCCCCTAACTTTCCTGCAGAATTAACTGAATATCCCGATCCCTTTCTGCCCTCCATCCCAAGCAGGTGTTTCCTAGGCTGCGGAAAAGAGGGGCAGCAAGCACCAGACAGGTGACGATCCACAAAGCTGACAGTAAGGAGGGGGAGGGAGGGGAGAGCACCACAGAAGAGGAGGCCACAGATTATGTCTTCAGAATTCTCACAGCTTACAAACCTGAAGGTAAGCTGCATTAGAAAGTGGTACTGTAAGCCACAAGGGTAGAGGCAAACAAAAACAAACTGATAGTCCTCAGTTTGCTTTATGTGGATTTCAGTACCAAGGACAGGTATGTTTGTGTATGGATGGCTTTCAGTACCAAGGACAGGTGTGTTTGCCTGTGTGTGGGTGGCTTTCAGTACCAAGGACAGGTGTGTTTGTGTGTGGATGGCTTTCAGTACCAAGGACAGGTGTGTTTGCCTGTGTGTGGATGGCTTTCAGTACCAAGGACAGGTGTGTTTGCCTGTGTGTGGATGGCTTTCAGTACTAAGGACAGGCCTGTTTGTGAATAGCATTAACAGCAAAGATAGCTTTGCCTATGTGCAGATGATGTTATACACCAGTGATAGGTCTATTAAGTAGTTAATAACTGGTGTTTAGAACCATAATTGTAATTTTTAACATTATAAAATGATAGTATTTGTTATGTATAGCTTGCTGTAGTTATTCACTTATCAAATCAGTCAAATCCAATCTTTGTTTCTATTTTGTGATGCAAACATTCCTTCCCAGAATCCAATGCTTCCATCCTGGTGCACCCAAGGAGACCCCACATGAAGAGGAGGCAGAAAAGACCCCCCCTCCCCCGCCCCTACCCCCTGAGCCGCCCCACCCTCCTGCCGTCGTGTGAGGGGGTGTATCTGGTGTACCAGTTTGAGCCTATCCAGGAGGAGCCTGTACAGTACACCATCAGCACCGAAGTTTGTGCGTGGAAAACATTTTCTCTCTGCAGCTGGCAATCAGACATTGACTGACAGATTGTATTTTGTTTGTTTCTTTGAGCCTTTTTTATGCACATAAACTAATCAATTTGGCCTACTGGCAGCTTTTCAATGAGGTAATGAGGGAAAGGTGTTTGAGACCTTTTGTGGCAGTTATCCACTGAGAAAAAGTAAAAAATACAAATTAAACATAATAAAATTTTTCATATATTTGTGGTGAGTGGAAGGTGTTGAGTGCCAAGGATAGGTGAGAGTGAATTGCAGATTCAGAAATTAAACAAACCAAGTTTTGTCACTGCCTGTCTGTCAGTGTCTGAGCCCAGCATGTTGTTGCAATATGTACTGACTCTGCGCATACTCTTACAGGTGATTCTGAAAACTTACAGGTGAATCTGATAACTTTCACTGCTCTTTTCTTGGTTCTGACTTCAGATGCTCTTTCAAGGTTTGGAGGACGGGCATTTTTCAGGTGCAGAACTAATGCTTTTATCACTAATGCTTTACTAAAACTGAAAATTGTGGTTCCCTAATAACTACTATACTAACCTGGTGAACGGATTTCATATTGTATTTTCCAGCACCCTCTGAATTGCTTGAATCCTCACAAGCCAACAGCAATTTTGTTCACTATGTTCTAAGACTTGGGTTGTACCCAAGACGATTTCCTGGCCTGCTAAACGTTCTTGCTAGCCGAACACTTGATGTGCTAACCAGCCACAGGGTACAAGGTAAAGAAAGTAGTATGTGGCACTGAAAATGGGTGCAGTACTAACTGATTCTCACCTTAAAGCCATGTTCATTTAGTGCTCCTTCTAGTCTGCATGCAAAACTAGTATACTAAGTCTAGCTGCTTGCAACTGAATATAGAGTATGTGAGGCCACAGTTTTGTGTAAGGTAAGCTATGAGTGTTTTGTGAGTTTTGGTTTAGATGATTAATGTACATGTAGATAATAGTCTCTTCTAATCATTTGCATTGTTTTTTGTTAACTTAATCATTTTTACTTTGCTTCATGTTAACTTTATTTTGTCTGTGTGCTCTTTTTGTTGTTTTACAGTTGATAAGGACACTCCAGCTAAAAAGGGTAACCCTGTGAAGAATGAGGGTCAGTCCATGTGTTATCTAAGTAGGGGAAAATGTTACCTAACATAATATCATATAGCCTATACAATAGTCTATAGTTTGAGACCATGTTCTTACTTTATTCTTGGTATAGTCTCACTTTTGGTCAGTGTTACTTGCCCACTTTTCCAAATTTTAGGGAGAAGGTAATTGTTTCTATTGACTTTGTGTGCTTGTGATGAGAATTAATGAATGAATGAATGACTGCTTTGCCCTTGCTTTATGATAATGGTAGAGTGACATCCATGTAGCTACAGTAGGAAAGCACTGTACTGATGGTGATGGGTCATTTCTTCACAGGTCCTTGTGGAAATGTTGTCTTCTTTCTATAGTTTTAGATGATCTACTAACAAACACAGTGATACTAACCTCCTGATATCTGCTGCACGCAGGGCCATATTTTTTTGGTATCAAAATGATCCTAATAGTTCGATAGCTGTTCTAACTAACGCATGTTACCTGACAGTGTACATTGCATTTAGAATCTTTCCTCTTATAGGTACATGTAGGTCTGCTTGCCTCCCAGAGCAAAATAGCCAGTTCATCACATGCAGCTATCTTCATAATTTCTTGCTCATGATCAAGGATGTAGACTCTCATCTTATAGGTCTAGTTCCAGCTTAGAGTAAAATAGCTAGATCATTGTTGCTGTACATCTTGCTTATGATCATGTATTAAACTTCTTGCTAGTATTTTACCCAGGCATGTAAGGTTTGCTTTCTTTGAAACTTTCAAACCTCATTCACATGCCATTTTGCTGACTTTTCCAGTCACTGAATCGTGCTGACATTTACAATAAAAACTGGAAAATTAGAAAATATGGAGTTAACTTATTGAGCTCAGCTGTCAATAATTTCAATTTAAATGAGATAGATCTGTATAATATCTGTGTATCTCCATTTTTCACTCCGCAGTTTCCATTGACCTGATGGACCCAAAGTTCACGCGGCCGCTGTCCTGGTCGTCCAAACCGCTGGTGAGACGGACGTCCTCAGGCAGCTCACAGATGTCCCCGCCGTACCAGCCCACCACTGCACAGGTCTACGCTCCACGCAGACAGTCCACAGACTCGGAGGGGTTAAACAGTACAGGCTCTCCTTCCAGGTGGGGAAGGGTTTACCATGTAATCACTTCAATCTTTTTTTTCACTTTAAAAGTTTAGTCAAAATATCAATGAAAAAGAAAAACATGGAGTAAAACCATCCAGTATACATGTAAATCAAAGGATAATAGATGTAAAACAAGTAATCATATGAAAGTATAGTTAGCGTACTACATAATACATAAGTGAGGGTCAGCATATCAAAAGAGCAGAAGTCAATATTGCTTCATTCTAAAATAACATATCTAATGTTCTCTTTAATACCTTTTACCTGAAAATTTATGAATCCAAAGGAGTTTTACTGTACAACCACTCACACCAAGGGATATTCCACTTAAGAATGTAGGGGAGCTGTCAAACACACATCTGTCTTGTACATGTATCTGAAATTAATTCACTTTTTTTCTAACAAAATTCACTGTCTAATAGTATGTAGTAATTAAACTGGGTGCCATTTGGATTTTCGCTCTGCAATGCTTGAAAAAATCCAGATGGTACCCAGGCTATGTAGTAATAATTAGTTTACATTTTTGTCTTTTTGCTGTCTGGCTCCGCAAAGTTCTTAACTGGAACAGCCCTAGCACATTCACACCTGCTGCACTCACCCTAACCCTGCACCTGTCCACAGTAACAGTGATGAGCCTTCCGTTTTCACCAGACAATCGTCGTTAGATTCAGACCCTGGTGATTTCCTGAACATAAGTGCCCGGCTGAGGTATCGATATCGCATGTTTACTCTGCAGTGTTTGCAATCCTCATCACTGTAATTCTGCAGCATTATATATGTCAGGGTAGAGACTCCAGGGCTCAAATTTAAATGTGGTCCAATCGCCACTAAAATTTTGGCTGGGACACTTGGGGACATTTTTGGGACAATAGAAATATAGTCAACATCAGAATGTCAGCCCTTCTTTACATTTGTTTATCAGGCTCACATCCTGGACTCCAATTCCACAGGTAGAGATCCTGATCAGAGTCTTTGTCAATAGATACTCCATTGGACCTCTGCCGCTAGAATCATGCATGCTACATGTATATACTGGTAGAGATCCAAACAGGAGTTTCTGTGGACAAAGACTCTAATCGGGATCTCTACTGGTAGAATTGCTGATTATACCAGATTGGAGTCTCTACCCTGACAGATACATATTAATCATGATATCAAAAGCAACAAGCAACATTACAAATTGTAAATGAAAATGAAATCACAGCCATAATTCTTGTGTGTGAGAGTGGCTGAATAAATACACAAATGTATTGTCTTGCAATCCGAAAAAAATTGCTTTAGCTAAATCTAATTTGCATAACCGTTCATTACCAGTACAAATATTGTGATCTGGCTTAACCTGCAAAAATCATTTGGTTTTCAAACTCGTAATCTACTGATTATTCTTTCTGAAATCCTCTCAGATTACAATGTAACTTTCTTCATTATATCTTGATGAAAAATCTTACTTATGAAATTAAAATGTTACTTATATAAAAGATCTGAGGTTTTTTGAAATGATGTTTGCCAATTCCATGACTGATTGTACAAAATCTATGTAAACCCAGGAACTGAACATTGATTACGGTAAACCTAATACTTGGGGTGGACCCTCACACTACTAACATCTGCTGGAAACACCACCACATTAGTTGCAGCGTTAAACACACAGCATGGAGAAGGTTAAGATACTAGTAGCTGCAGCTTATCGATGTTTCCTGTACTTTCCAGAACGTCGTTGAAGCTGCTGTGTGACACCATGAAAAAACAGATCATCTCAAGAGCCTTCTATGGATGTAAGTAAACCAGACTTAGTTCAAGTCTGCTTGTGAAGTTCAGCAAATACATGAATTGTCTGAGTGACTAGTGGTCCAGGTCAGAGAGACTTTCTTTGTGAGGGTCAAAAGTTTGAATTTTAAACTGTAATTTTTTTATTGTTGTCAGGGTTGGCTCACTGTCGGCACCTGAGAACAGTGCGAACCCACCTGTCAGGACTGGTGCACAACAAGATCGTGTCTCAGGACCGGCCCATGGACGCCACCTTCGGCCTGACGGGAGACATGTGGTGGAGCATGCACGAGGATGGGCAGGTATGCCGTGACCTAGTGGTTTAGGGTTCAATTCCCATAGACACATTGTGATAGAGATGACGTTTTTCTATGGTTTTGACTTTGAATAACAGCTATTGTGAGGCATGTGGTGAAGCCTGGATGCCCCAAGGATGGACAGGTAAGCTGGCAATGAGCTGTCATAGTGGTTTAGGGTTCAAATCCCAGTCTGGCTATCTGTGTTACAAACAAAAAAGATACATTTTGGTATCTCAGAATGGTAAAGCATGCAGTAGGATACACAGTGGTACATGTTGGCTGTGCATTAGAGGTTTGGGATTCAAATCTGAGCCTAATTATCTGTGTCCAGCAAACATTTCTCTATTATTTTAATCTGAATTTATTATTCTTTGATAGTGAATATAATGCAGAACTTTGCTGATGTTCCAGGTGAATGATGAAGAAGAGATCTACAGACTGGTGTACTTTGGAGGCTGTGACCATGAGATCAGGGCAGAGGTGAGTGGAGGTGTTACCTGTCCTTGGTGCTGAAATCTCAGTGCTGCTCCTCACCATACATGTACCTCACGTTTTAAGACCTTTAATGTCTATAGCATAAAACGTGGGATAGTCCAGACAGGCCAGTATCATGCAGTACTATAGATAAACAGCAGGGGGTGCATCTGCACCAGTTTGCAATCACCACATCCAAATGCAAAGAATGTCACTGACCTGTTACAGCAATACTCGTGGCGTCGTGTGGTGTAGTGGTACATCACTGGACTATGAAACGGGGAGACCCGGGTTCGATTCCGGGTCGTACCCGAACAAGTCCGAACATGCGCCGCGACGTTGTACCCTTGGGAAAGGTACTTAACACGACTTTCCTCACTTCACTCAGGTGAAAATGAGTACCTAGCTTCGGCTAGGGACGTCCCTCGGATAGGACGTTAAATGGAGGTCCCGTGTTTGGGAGAGCCACACCCCATGCACGTTAAAGAACCCACCACACTTATCGAAAAGAGTAGGGGACCTTCCCGGTGTGAGTGGTTCAAACATTACAGTCTGGTCTCAGGTTTGACATCTTTGAAAATGTGATAGTCACCTGTTATGTCAATCCTTCCACAAATGTGGTAAATCATCATAAATAAATAAATAAATAAATACTCTCCAAGCAGAGGTTTAGGCTTCAGATTATTTTTTATGTGTTTTCAGGCATTTCTATCAGACTTTCTTTTTGTACTGCTACATTGTATCTTTTCTGTCAGCCGAACTCTTCAGGTGGCAAATGGTAACTGCCAGGCAAATGGATACTGTCTTGCTAATTTGATATACTCTCCATTATTCAGCCACTAAAAGATTATTTCACAAATTCTTCCTTCAGGTTTGGCCGTACCTACTTGGCCACTACAACTTCGGAGACACGGATGAGGAGAGAAAAGGAAAAGACGACCTGGCACATTCGCAGTACGAGAACATCATGTCAGACTGGATGGCAGTGGAGGCCATCATCAGACAGAGAGACAAGGAGGCACAGGCTGCCAGTATTGCTAAACTGTCGTCAGGAAGCAGTATCGACAGCCAGGCCTACAAACTGTACAGTCAGGACTCAACTATGAGTAATGATGTAAGTAAACGTTTGTTTGTTTGTTTGTTTGTTTGAACCTTTGTGAGAAGTTCAAATCAGCCCGCAGGCCACTTTCATAAAAGGAAAAGGAAGAGGAAATACGGTTTTTGTTATTTTTTGTACATGTTAAATTTTGAGTATGTTAAATACATATAATTTATTTCATTTTTAAAGATAATAAATGCATTGTTCTAATTGTGTTTAATGTTACAGCATTCAAGCAGTAGAGATTCATTAATAGATGATGAAATTCTGCAAAAGGCTGCTGGAAGCTACTACGAGATTAGTGGCAATGTTGTTTTGGTAAACTGACTTTTTCGTATTGGTTCTTTCATTTTTTCTTTTTGAAGGTGTTTTTATGCATGAAGGTGAAGGGAAGGTCCAAAAATGGTGGCAGAGATCTTGGCTAAGACTCTTTTTCTCTAACTTTTCATTTTAGATTTCAAAATCTGTGTTCTGGTCTACTTTTCTATTCCCCCTTTGGACTAGTTCAGCTCTTTACTTTGTATATGGTGACTACTGTAGAATATTGACTGTATTGTAAAATACAGAAGAAATGGCACTGCATGTGAGGCTAGAAAACGTAACTACCATGGTGCCAAAACAGTATGGGAGATAGGGTTTTCAATTGAACAACATTCAGATTCCTGTATTCAAAATTCACAAATCACCTCCACAGGTGTTTGAAGATGATGAGGGCAATCACGAGACGTCTCGAAGAAAGAAGGACAGCGTGGACTCTGCCTCTGAAAGCCCAGAATTCTTACAAGGCATCAACCACGCCGTGGAACTCCCTAAGGGTCTGAGTGTCAGCTCTGGTCAGGACAAAATTGACGAGGGAATCGGGAGCTCATGCAGCACGTACGACCGCGACAGCGTGGACTACGCCAGCCGCATGAGCGTCAACGACAAGGACCTCGGAGACGAGAACGAGAACAGGAAGATCAGAAGAAGCCACGAGATGATCAACATCGACAGACAAGCCACGGTGGATGAGGAGGATGAGGACGACCAGAGAGACCAGGAGATCTCAGCGTGTATGAACGAGCAGGAAACACTGGCGGTGGAGCCCATGGACCGGAACCCTTCTCCTGAGTCCACACAGGGATGTGACTATGATGTAAGTATACATGCAAAGAAAGAGTGCACACTAAATCTAGATATTGTGCTTTGCTGTAGAACAAGTCAAATATTCCTGCTGGCACTGTAAGGTAAATACAGCAGATATACTGGACTGTGTATTTGACCATTATGATCAATGCCCTATGCAGACAAAACTGTTGGACAGCTATGGGCTGAACCTGCACCGTATAGACAAGGATGTGGCGCGGTGTGACAGGAACTATCCCTACTTCACACCTATCAACCTGGAGAAACTACGGAACATCATGTGCACGTAAGTACACCTGTACTGATTGCACTACAATCTTCTGGGTTTGTGTTATGATGCTCAATGATCTGTGTCAGTGTTTTCGGCCCTTTTTGTATTAGATAGTGAAGGGTATCCAGTATTGTTGGTCTTCTTGTGATTTTTGTTATATTTCATTCTGAAAGCTTCAAGTTAATACATTTTTTGTACTTGGCACATGCTTAGGCTGATACATTATACCTTGGGTGATAACAATGTCAAGCCCTTAGCTCTATATGACTGTATATAGATCAAGCTAAGGAACAGAAACTGAGTGTTGTTTTGTGTCTTGCCATGGCAGGTATGTTTGGGAACACATGGAGGTGGGGTATGTACAGGGGATGTGTGACCTGGCAGCACCTCTACTGGTCATCCTGGATGATGGTGAGTCTTCTGCATCAGGTTCTTAAATTTAGGAGTGCTGATTGTTACATTATATACAAGCTGAAGTCTTAAAATATTGTGTAATTATTTACAAATGTTGGCTGCTAACTCTTCACCATAGGCTTTGTTAAAAATAGATTAGTTACTGTTTTTTGTCCAGACTTCTATGCCCAATGTAACTATGGCCACTTGTAGCCTGATCTAAGAGTAGTCATTCCCCTCCAACAGAGGCGAAGACCTACAGTTGTTTCTGTCAGCTGATGAAGAGAATGTCTCAGAACTTCCCCCACGGTGGAGCCATGGACACACACTTTGCCAACATGAGATCTCTTATACAGGTGGGATTCAGTATATAATCATAATTATACTGGTTTGTTTCATGCGAATACTGTCAATCTTGAAACTTGATCTTTGGAATGGGTTTATTTTTTTCCTGTATGTTGACGTCTCTGTGAATATACATTTGAACTGTTGCTGTACTACAGAATTGAGATGTGTTCTGTATTTCCCAGATTCTGGACTCTGAGATGTTTGAGCTGATGCATCAGAACGGGGACTACACCCACTTCTACTTCTGCTACAGATGGTTCCTGCTGGACTTCAAGAGAGGTACTGTAGAATATCATCAGTTTCTGGTAGATGTTCCAGCCAAATAATAATGACTAGAACAGAACTACATGTATAACTTCACACAAGGAACTTTATGTGTGTGTTCTTTCAGGGATTCTCCGTATACACCATGCAACATTATGATATGCATGCTCAATGCTGTTGCTACTTTTGTGTCTTAAGGCCTTTAGAGTCACAAAGAAGTATAATCACGCATAAGGGAGTGAAGTCTGCCATCTCTGATTGCCTTGTTCTCAACATTTCATACAGAGCTTTTAAACTGTTTGTGTGTATGTGACTTCCAAGACAGTGTGCATATATGTGAAGTGTCAATGCAGCACTACTGTCCAGTACTGTACTATACTGATGCTCATGATCAGTGCTGCCATTTATGGCCATGGGACCAGAATGGCTGCAAAGCATTATGCACAAAGGGGCGAAGCCTGCTACATTTGTATCTCTGATCACCCTGTTCTGTGGGTCTCCGACAGAGTTGTTGTACGAGGATGTGTTCTCTGTGTGGGAGACCATCTGGACGGCCCGACCGCTGGCCTCGGAACACTTTGTGCTGTTCATCGCGCTGGCTCTGGTGGAGTATTACAGGGACATCATCCTGGATAACAGTATGGACTTCACTGATATCATCAAGTTCTTCAACGGTATGTGCTTCAACTGTGTTTAAGAAAACACACCAGCAGAACCGCAACTATATGTACATAAAACTCATATTGTGCATGTGCATGTAGCATAAAATTGCCGGTAACAGACAGAATTCTGATGCAACGTTGATCAAACATCCAACAAATACTGTTTCACGCAGGTGCAGTACGTTCTGCCGACGTGCTGTGTAAGAAGGTTCTTTATTCATGGGATTACACATTATTCGACATTTCATGACTTCCTGTCACATAGCTGCTTCTTTTAAAACTCACAGGGTTGTCTTTAAGTGCAGACTTTTTAATATTTTTATTTCTGTTTCTCTTGTGCAGAAATGGCAGAGAGACACGATGCCAAAGCTGTTCTGAAGAGGGCACGAGAACTGGTGTTTGAACTGCAGAGTCTTATAGAGAACAAGTAGAACTTCAAATTTGTGTGGTCTGCGGAACAAGCCAAAGTCTCATACCCACCAAAACACAGACTGCCAACATAGGAGGAAAGATGATCGTATTGTACACGAAATACATGACATAAATGACTGTTTGCTTTTGTTGTAAGCCATAACCTTGATTATTGAGGGAGACAAAAGGAAAAATTACTGTTCACTTTGGCACCACCTCAATTCTTTTTTTTAGTAAAAGGCACCAGTCCATACAATATGTCTTCTTTGTGACAAGGTAGGGCTACAAACATGGGTTTATTGCAGTGACAATTTCATTCATGAAAATGAACAGAAGTTAATACCAACTAGATGAGTGATGTTATAACGTAAAAAAAACTAGACATTGTGCCATTTGAGTGAATAGTATTATGCATGATCATGTTTTAAGCCAATGCTCAATTCTTGATCAACATGAGATTAACAAATATGGCCTCTACTCCTTCCAAGTTGCTGCTGGCTGAAGCTTGATTGAAAGTTGACCAAATTACCGTAACAGTTGTTTATGTGCAATCAAATATTGTCCAACTTTTGGAAAGTTTTCTTGGTGATGAAATTTTGTGGATACTAAACCATGACAAAAAGGCAAGTTGCTTGGCATTGGAGCTGTCTGTTTGGTGTAAATTGTTGCAAAAAATGCAAGTTATGTGCTCCTTTCTAACTATGGAATGTAACTCTTTTGGGAAACAATGTCATGACATTTTCATTATAGGTAAACCTGCGATTCTTCAAACTTTTACAAAGTAATATAACAGACAACTGTTGTACATGCATATACAACTTACTGGTACCATCAGCATAGGTCGTAATGTTGCATCGAAGGTATCATAGATAAAATAGGCTGTTTAATATTGTTTCAGCTTCATCTGTGTGCCTTTAGCTGCAATAGAAACTACTGTAGAGTCAAACATGCATGAGAAGACCTGTCAGATCTGGTCTATGTGGACAGATGGTCACTATAGACAGGATTCTTAATGTTTGTGTCAATGCAAAAAAGTTATCTAAGGGACCACCAAAAAGTGGGCACATTGGCCAGGTGGTCCTTATGTAGAGGTGGTCAATTGTTCAGGTTTGACTGTACATTCCACCAATAATTGTCTGTACCTACATTTTGAAGATTTCTGCTTGGTGAAGTTTAAGGAAAATGTGTATTGAGATTCTCATCAATCTGAGTTTTGCTTAGAAATAGGAATACAATATGATAACATCAGAAACCTGTCAAACTCTAAACAGAAGATGTCTGTTAGTAAATCAAACCATGGTATGTTGTATTCCTTATATATATGGGGGTCTGTAAACCCATCCAGAGTTAACATTGACATGTGCATCAGTGTTGTTTACTTTACATTGTACACTTTACCTCATGTATATCTATGTGTGTTGGACTTGTGCAATATATCATAATGATGATATTGAATGTGTATATTTTGCGTATTGTAATATTCAAGTCATGTATTATATTTATGGAAAACATCTACTCTTTTGTGCTGTACAGTATTTACATGTAAATGTGACCACTTGATGAATGTGTCAAGTTTGTGTTGCCATTGTATCGACTTTCATTGCAGTAATGTTATACTACATGTAATGTGTACCCTGGAAATCCAGACTCGCTGTCCGGGCCGCAAAAGCCCTTCGCCCACTGGTGTAAATTACCGCTACGGGGGAGTCTAGCCCGGGGGGAGGTTGGCTGGCCTTCTAGGGCCAGCCAACTCCCCTCGGGCTCAACTCCCCCGTAGCGGTAATTTAGGCAGGCGGGCGAAAGGCTCTCGGCTGCCGAAGGAAAACGGCTAACGGCCCGATACTAGTTTGGCATCCAGGGTAACTAATGTGAAGTATACAATTGCTCCTTGAGATTGTGACTATATGAATTACAGTAGCAGAGGAAAAGCTAGCAAAAATTCTTCATGAAATTGTTGGAATGTTAGGATGCACAATACAGAGGCAAGCTCTGTATATCTGGGTGTAGGAAATTTGTGTAAAAAAGGCAGTACACAAAATGTCTAAGTAAGGCTCTCCTAAACCTTCCAGGGAAAATGGAGAAAAGAATTATATTTTTGATGTACAAGATATAAGGAGTGTAAGCAAATGGCTCTTTGGACTCAGAGAGAAGTCTTGTATGGATGTAAAAGCCTAGACTAGAAGAAACACATGACATTGTATGATTCATGACAGAATCCATGGAGTTTTGTGTGAAAGCTCCTTGCAGAAACTAAAGCCTAGTTAGTGAAGTAGAGCACAAATGTGTAGCTATACATAGTCACTCTGGTAGAACCCAAGCTAAGTACTTTGTGTGTGATGACAAATTTCTGCAAAGTGTATCAAGCTTTCATGAGATAATCATGTCAGACTCTCAAATGATTGTACATGTAGATCAAAATCTTTAAATGTGTTTTTTCTGTGGCTTCTCTGTAAGAAATGTAATACTTGAAGCTTCAACTTGGTTTTGGAAAACATGCTTGACCAATGCAGTATTTGTAGTGGATAGCAACACACTGAGGTTGTTCAAACTTAAGAAAATGGTGGCCAACTTTATATAGAACCTGCCGATCACTTCTTGTCAATGGTTTTCATGCAGTAAGAGCAGCTAAGCAAGGCCTATGTTTCTTGTGCCTCATGCAAGTGTTGTGCCGTACATGTACAATATATATTGTGTGGTAAATCACAGTTGCTTGCATAGTGAAACAGGACTGGTGTTTGTAAATTTAGGCCTATTTCAGCTTGTTAAAAACAAAGACACTCACTTTCATCATGGAGTTAGAAGATGCTTTGATGTGATACTGAGGTAACTGTCAAAGCCCGACTGTGATTTGTTAAATGTAATGTGTTTTTCTGTATATTATGTATATGGAGACAAAAGCAGGTAAGAATGAAAAATCAACTTGGAAGAAAGTGTGTAAAATGTGTGTCTGCTATATGTAATTGCTTGTTTTTGATCTTGTAGTTAGGATAAAGATGATACGTTTAAGATCCTTAATGTGATGTTTATAAAGGTTTAGGGTGCAAATCAGGATTGTAAAAGGCAACAGAGTATATTAGATGTTTTTTGATTGAGCACAAATCATTAAAGTTCACCTGCTCTACTTTATGACGTGTTGACTTCGATACAACTTGTACAAACAAGTAGATACTAACCTAGAACAAAAAATAGACATGGCAATGTAGGTGTTTGCGTGTGTTACATGACTTTGTGTGTTATGTAACCTAAACTGCAGAGTCTTTGGAAAAAGAAGCATCACCAGAAAGGGCGTATTTCCTCACACATAGTGGATAAAATGAATGCTTTATGCAGAATTACAATACACAAATCATCCTTCCATATTGAATATTTGCAGCTTCTCACTTTAATTATCTTTAATACATCCTCACCTATCTTTGTACGTACACAAAAGCAAGAACACTACAGTATATAGTATCACAAGGCAACGCCCTTAGAATACAATAAGACAAAGAATTTTGTACACTCTAGCCACCCCTTCAAGTTATGGTAATAAAAAACAAAACATATACGATTGCAGTTCTAATTAGTTACAACATTATTCTTATACTCTTTATCTTTTTAACAGTACACCTCTTGCCGACCTACAGATTCTGTACTGCTGCTGCTTCAGTTTCCTAACAAAAATTAAAAGAATGAAATTTTTACACAGCTTCATCGTTCATGCAGTATGCAGAGGACAAAGCCAAGACTTAAGACAAGTTTGGACTATTTTCAGGGAATTTTGACAGCTGTGGTACATTTATCCGTCTTTTCAAAGTCTTCACAATTGTTGGAAAAAAAGTATGGAATTGTGAACATAACATAAGATGTGGTTTCATTTATGCGTCATGCTAGCTGGACAAAGTCCTCAACACATATGTGTTAAGACTTAAAACAAAATATAATGATTAACACTAAATATATCTGGAGGACTTTTATGGTGTTTACTTGCTTAATTTAATTATGTCCTGGAAGTATGTTTTTCATTAACACTTGCCATGTGGAAACAGTCCTGATATGGACAATAGGAAGTTTCCCACAAATAGAACAGCACTACATTGGGTGTCCACAGTTACATGTTCTTCAGACGTACGAGTAGGGCCAGTTGGATGTGTGCTAAGCAGCAGTGCAGAATATGTTCACACAGAGCCTCTCTCTATCGGATAGGTTTAATATGGCTATGTTCTAGAAATAATTGCAACTGCAGGTCTTTTCCTCAGCACAAACTACAACTTTATAACTACATGCCAACATGGAACAACCGCTGACACACAATCTGGGCATGGGGTCGTGCTAATTACTGTACGTCCAAAATATTTCTGTACTCAATTTCAGTTTACATCAATGTAGTCAACATAGTAATATTGAGACTTTTCTTCATCTGCAGAAGCAAGGGTTAGGGCAGACCTTTTAATATAATACATACACTCTTTAGGACTAAAGCAAACATCGTTTGTTCGTTTTCATTAGTTGGCAAAACTGACAGATAAGTTCAACAGTGGTTGTAATACAGATTTGGAAGTTTGGGGCTTTTCATCTTGAATGCTTTTACCGGTACTCACTTCTTACCCATGTATTGCAGTGTGTACAGATTGTGTTTTTTGGTGATGGTTTACATTAATCCATCAATGAATTCCAAATGGAAACTCAACATGAACTACATTCATTCAAACTTCCATAAAACAATTTGCATTTTCAGGCTACATGTATTGTAATATGCTGTTGTGGGCATTTCTTGTGTTACTGAAAGCCAATGAAACCAGGGCACCCTTTGCTTTTTATCTTCATACATTCATACTCTTTATAGCTGGAGCATACATATACTTCCCAGAACTGGAGAAGAAAAACTCTATGGTCAGCAGGCCTTGGCATATATCCAATACATCTTAAGAAGTCTCTACTTTTAAGACTCTGCAAGGCTTTCGAAGCTGAGCGTCTACATTTACACATATTTACACAAAAACTCACTCCCTACCATCCCCCCCAATTCATTTGCCTCTGGTGAAATTTCGACCACCAACAATTACATCATTTGGGGGTAAAACAAGATTTAAAAGCTGTGTGTACGCCATCAGACATTGATATCTCAACCGTCGAGAAGTTTGGAGCGGAAGCTTTCTATGTGCTTGTACAATTTCCCCACTGCGTGGGCTACCAGTAGCCTGGCATCCTTCTTATTCTAGCTCCTGTCTGTTCTTCTGATTGCCTGTCCTCAGTATAGTCTGGCACCCATCCTCGTTCAAATGTTTGGGCCTGACTGTAACACTTAAAGCCAAACAGAGCTCTCTCAAGAATCTTCACAAGCCAAATGCTGGTCTGTATGTACCGACAAGTGCCCGACTATTCTGCAAAGGAACAATCAGAGGAGTGGATTGAAGCTGGAATACGACAGATCCCAGGCTAGGCTACCGGGGTAGTGTGGGGCGACATGATAACAGTGCTAACTCATCGCTGGCCTGTAATATTTATCTCCTATATATTTATCATCATAGAACAACAATAATTTACACGCTTACTTTTCTGCCGCTATCCGAGAACTGCCTGGAAACTTTTGTATGCGATAATTTTGGGTTGAATGCTCTGGCAGACAGCTGTCAATTTCCAAATTGTGTTTTTTCATCTTAAAGAGAGAGATGGAATAGAATTTTTTCAAATTTTTTCTCAGGAAGTTTGGTGGCAATACTTAATCAAGGTGGGAGGCTTCCATATTAATTTAACATATACATGTAGAAGAGTAACGCAGTAGATAGTAAACATTCAAAGGTCTGAGGAAAGACTTGAATCCAAACAGAGATATTTTATATAAGAATTCTTCACCATTATAAGGTGAGGCTTTATTTCGGTTCTATAACATCTGTATTGCCTTAACTTTGTCTGATTGACAGCTGTCGACCATGAAGCATCGCAAATCAAAATGTCGAAGATGACTGCATTTCAACACCACATAGTAACGAACGCTGTACATTTGCACCACGCAACTGGCAAGGCCCAGACCACTTCTCCAGTCACCACCAGACAGCACACTTGCCTGATGGTATCATAGACTTATGTCTGTTTTACGAGTTTCTCCCATATAACAACAGCAGGTCTATCTACACTGTAGGCAGAGTTGTCAAATTCAAATTATCGGTAAACAGACATGTAAAATTTGGACAATTTCATACTGGGTCTTGTTTTAGACATTCCTTCCTGAACTGTGAAAGCTCTTATTCCAAAAACACTATTCGGTCACAGGTAAGATATGATCCATATTTTTCAGAACCCACCTAAATGTTTGGGTCAATTGGAGTAAAAGAAGTCTGGGCAAAGTCAGCTGCATGATCTGGCTTATATATGGGACCTGCATTTTCTTTCCTCCAGGTGCCACCTGCACACCCCTACAGATTAAGTCCACCAGTCCATAGCCATATTGCCCATAATGGTGATCTCGTCATCACCCAGCCCACTGCACGAAGAATAAGGGGGGTTTTCAGGTCTCTTGCACACTGGAAAGAAGCTACAGTAGTCCCGGACACGTCACACATACTTAGCTGTTTAGCTCTGGTGGCATACATGTACATGTACAGTAGGGTGCCTTGGAGTCAGGTCCTGCTCTGTACAGTGCACCTATCATGAACATCCAGACAGGTTAGGGGTTTGCACTTCAGTTTGTTTACTCATGTGGCTTGGTATCTTCCAGGAATTCATATGTTTGACTAGGAATTCCAGGAATTCATGTGTTTGATTTCCAATCATTTTGATTTAGAGGAATTCATTTTAACTTCCAGGAGTTTTCAGTTCAACCTCTTGCTTGTCCAATTCAAAGCACTTCTTTTCCTTTTAAATTTAGTTACCCGCAAACCCTTCATTGCCTTAGTTTTTTTTCACCAGCTACACTTATTCATCAGCATCGTAGCTCCCTTAACTTTTGCAATAGAGCAGCACTATTTGGGTCTGGAACATTTGGTACAGTCTGATTTGAAATAATACTTTGGGCCATTCCTATGGACAAGTCCTTCTGCCTTTGCTCTGTCAGTTGAAGAAGAACCCCCCACCCCGACCTGTTAGGACATTACGATAGGTACAGAGCACAGAGACGCGACCTGAGGCAGCACGACTGGTTTTTCAACGCGGCGTTAGCGGCACTCCCACACTTTCACCGTTTGATCCACACTGCCGGTGATCACGAACGGGGCGGACTTATGGAAGTCTGGGGAGGAAAACAAAACATGAAGTCAGATATGTGTGGGTAAAAGACATGGTAACGGAGTCCAATTAACTCTTTGGTTCAAGGCCTGTAACTCTTTGGTACAAAGGCCTTTGACTTCAAAACCTCCAACACTGAGGTCAGTATTATGAGTTGTATCAGAATATACCTTGTTATAAGAACAGATGAGAATTAGCAAAACTGTCAAAAAATAACGAAATGACTTCATTTAAAGAGGACAGTACAGGCTAGAACAGTACGACTTCAAAATCCATTTTATACATTCATTCATCCACGCAAACAGATTGATACATGGAAGCACAAACAGACACACACACACACTTGCACACGCACACACAGAGTAACTGACCGATGGAGGTGCAGAAGTGCTGGTGAGCCTCCAGTGTTTTCTGACAGCGCTTGTTCTTGTAGTCCCAGACACGGATGGTCTTGTCGTCCGAGGCACTGATGATATACTTTCCACCCGGGTGCCACACCACGCCTCGAACCCAGTTGTCGTGTCCAACCTACAAGTACAAGTTGTTCAAAAATACCATTTTCATTTTAAATATCCAAACTATAAACCATAGAATTCAAACCTTAGAATTCTAAATTACTTAAGTTAATCATTCAATTCTGGTAAGTACTGATAGATCAGCAACAATTTTGGGAACAAAAATGGAATTGCTTTCCTTCCCTTTCTGATGAAAATGATATAATGAACAATATCAGTAACACATTTATTTGATACCAGTAACTAAAAGTTGACTATCACTTTGCCCAATATCAAAACATGTAAGTTTTCTGAACCTTGAACACTTCTGACCAGGGTCATGTTGCACACTGCAAGAAATCAATTAAACATATAATACAGTAACAATATAGTACATAAACCAATTGGTTTCCAGTAACAGCCAAAGAAAAGCTTTGTGAACTGACCAGTGTCATGATGC